AGACGAGAGGCTTAGGAACGCGTCATCGAGCGCAGATCCTATCCTCAGTGTGAATGCTGGTTTGGCCATGTTATAGATGAGAGGCTTAGGAACGCGTGATCGAGCGCAGATCCTCTCCTCAGTGTGAGTGTCGAGTTGGCCTATTGTCAGTGGGAGGCTTAGGAACGCGTCAGCAAAGCTGATCCCGTCCTCAGTGAGAGTGTCTAGTTGGCAAAGTTGATAGCGAGAGGCTCGAGAACGCATCCTCGAGTGCAGACGCTATTCTCAGTGCGAGGACCCAGTTGACGGTATTATTAGTGAGAGCCTCTCGCTGAGAGGCTTGGGATTTGGAATCCCAAGTAAGGAAAATATCTCCGAGCGCGGATCCAACCCTCAATATGAGGATTCGGTGGGATTGAGTCGGCGACAGAGTTTGTGTCGAAACTAGCACGCTGTAGGATACGTGCATAGCGGAAATGAGAGTACCAGGAGCCGACTGTGCCATTGAACTAGCTACTAAAGCAGTCGACACACTCCATGGTAAGAACATCGACAGGGTGACGGTCACCCGGTGACCGATCTTGAAGGATTATTGACCAATGACACGCTCTTGGCGGCTTTCTACAAGAGGCTCTCTCCTGAAGTAGCGAGCGCTACAGACACTCAAAAGTGACCAGGGTGGTATCGCTGGTGCGCTTAAAAGGGGAGGTCAAGAAGGTGGTGGACTCAATTTCGGGTAAACGTGCTCCACTTACGAGAGTTAGAGGGGAGTAACTCCCCTCTAAGTCCAGAACTCCCCGGGAGTTCTGGAGGAGATCAACAACCAAGTATGGTGCTCTCGTGACCAATAACCTACTGGGAGACCCTCCTATGATCTCGGCACTTTTGGCAGATCCGGGTGTATTTCTTGCGCTGTGTATACCATGTGATGCAGCGGATACCCAGGAGTCGACAGAGACTACTAGTCTCAGACTAGTTAATGCTTAGACGGCGAGTCTGTTCAAGTGAAGATCCGACCAGATACGAGAGAGCCGCGCTGCTTCAGTGAGCTCATCTCAGTACTTTGTGGTTGCCTGGTAGCGGTGGAGGTATCATGTTCGCCACAAAGAGGTGCCAGTAAAGCGGAGTACTTATGCTATCTGGCTAAAGTGTGTATGATGTCTGGTGATGTTTCAAAGTGTGTATGTGTCAGTGTCATAATCTCTGACGAACTGCCTGACCAACAATTGGGAAGAGCGAGGTATCCTCACTGAAGGTCCACTGGGGAGTACCTTCGTTGCTCAGGAGCTATTAGCAAGAGGCGGAGCAGTTGAACTTGGAGAAACAATGGATTAGGTTCCTTCAGAAAGTACCGATTGTGTTTCAAATGAGAGGCCTCCAATGGATATTAGCAGTTCTTCACTCGCCAAAACAAAAAATGTAAGGCAGATAATGGGATTGGATCATCGACTGAGTAGGAGGCGATGAAGGTCTTCCGAGCGTTGACGGAATCAGAAAGAAAAGCAAGGAGAGCAGCACTACTCGCAGACTCCGCACGAGAGAGTACGGAGAGGAGCTACCGCTCGGCGATGAGCTATTTCGAGAAACTTAACGGTAGGATTGCAGGCAATAACGTGCCTACGGTGGATAAAATCCTAGGTAATGTCGGGTCCTCGTTGACCAAGCCAATATCTCTCCAGAAACATTGCGGGTTAGCGCGACAAAGACGACTATGAGGGTGCGTTCCTGAGTAAATTTCACCCTAGAAGAGATGACCATCGTTGAGAGAGGAGTTAAAGGAGGCCAAAATCATTTGGCGCATAGATCCAAGCCTCCGGGAAAGGCAGGAGTTCTACCGGACAAGGCAGTTAAAGCCCTAACAAGTATAAATCCTACAGCTGACATAGCTATAGCATAGTGGGGCCACAATTCGAGTAGATTCGGGATGCGAGGATAGCACAGTGAAGTGTGCAGGCGGTTCGAGTCAATCGAGTAGAACCTGGCAAGGCTACGCCAAAGGAGCCTTGATGCGCTGCACGAGGGACACAGCAGAAGAAAAAAATAGTCAATAGGTCATAAGGACTACAGCGAGAGGAGGGGATAAAAGAAAAAAACATGAATCGATTGTGTCATTGAAGGTTCTGGCAAAGCTAAGAGTTCGGTGGATAGTGGAGAGATTTGGGTGACGGGACAGACCCGTATGAGACGTGAGTCGTTGATAGGACACCGCCTAGTCGGGCACTTGTCCTGTGACCGAAGCTTCAGGGGGGGCACCTGTAAGTCTTCAGTCCTCTCCACACCACCTAGTCGATTAACTCTATCAAAGCTCCCCTGGTTAAGTGTAAATAGTTAGAGGATCACTGGAGCCAGAGTTGAGCATAATGTCATTATGATCAACTTGATCCATTATGCTAATGGATCAAGTTGATCCGATCATTGATCGGCGATCAACACATTCCCCTAGCCAGGGAACTTGAGCGAGGCCCCTTGGCAAGTGATTTTATAACTCTTATGACTAGCGGATGTGTTGTATTATACAAGCTGTATACTCGTGAGGCGTATTCCATATCGTAATTGCGATCTCTAGTTGAACTTATGGCCTGGAATCTTACTTCGTTATTTGTTGTGGTTCTCAGGCGGTTTGTTGCTGTACTGTTTAGCCAGCTAGTTTCGAGATTAAGTGGTTATTGACGACAGACTGTCGCACAACCCAACATCGCTACGTTCGCTATGATAACCATTCGTATCGAATGATGACGGAATAGACCAGAGATCAAGTACGTTAGATACTTGAAAGTTCCGAGCAGGAACGACCAAATACACGAACTTCTCCCGAAAAAGGTCCCCAATAGCTCTCGAAATGCGAACTTCATGCTAACCTTCACAGATCAGAATGAAAACCCCGACACGTCACAGACATGAACTCGTGAACCGCAACCATTTGGCAATAAGTCTGATGGTGAGTACAAGTGAGACAAGAGCTAATGGATAAATGACGGAGCCGAATGGTTCGACACATCAATATGAAATATGATCGGATCAGAAAATGTCAAAATGTTTCCATAGGTAGCACATGAATTGCTACTGAGCTACAGCCAAGAGTACGGAAGGGGACTGGCCGAGTGAAGTCCTGCGATGCCACTCATCATCGGCATCGAAGTATCATTCGGTCGTTCCCGAACCAACTCACAAAAGTAAACATTAGCTTAAGTGGGGCATGCCCAATGGCGTTTCTCCTTATACAGAGCCGAATCATCTGCTGTAGGTAGCTTCATGTACAAGTATTCGAACTTGGGTTTCAAGAGGGAGGGATGTAGGGAATCTTTGTTGAGTCTGCCCCTGGACTTAGTCAGAAGCTTATCACACTCAGACCCCTTGAAAGAAGCTCGAATATAAGCATCCTTATCCTTGTCTTCAAGGCTATAGAGACACTTGTAAACTCTCTTAGGGTCAAGAGCTTGTTTCTGATGGGTGAGGATAACGGAGCCATCCATTTTGAATTCTATGCGGATGATATACTCTGCATATCGTCCCCCTTTATCCACACACGGCTCGTAAACACCTTCAATCCGCTGCTCGGCCGTACCGGAGATGATCATCAGACTGGTGATGAGATGCAGAACTTCCATGTTACAGATAGTTAACTGAGCGCCAAATTGAGTCCACGACGGTCCCATCTACCCAAGTAGTTATTGACAAGTTATTGACGCCATTGGACTTCCATTAGCTAGATGCATAGAACAGTTTCACGCAAGCTGTTCCACGCGACTCGCGTGGCTCGAGCTGTTTCACGTTCAGTTTTCACTGCGAAAAAATACTCCTGTTAGTAGTAACACCCGCAGTGGTTCAACCACTGCGGTTGACTCAACAACACTTGGGATAAACATAATAGGTGATAAGGCTTCTTATCTTATCCATTTCAGCCTGAGGCCTGCGAGCCGTTTCATGCAACGAATAATGGGCGAGGGAGGTTCGTGCATACGTGCGCGAACACGTCCTCCTCAGATAGTTACTTATTAAATGATAGTAGTGCACCCACTGGTTCTAGTGCCTTATCGAGGCGTGGGGGTTACTGGTATGCCTAGACGTATCAGACCGAAACTGTGACCGAGCTGCCACTTCTTCCAGAGCAATGCTCTCACATCCACTCCACGAGTGCGATGAATAAGCAGGGTCTGCTCACGTGCTCCCCCATCGTTTTGTCTCTCTTGTAGCGCCCAATACCTAGTAGATTTCGCCGCAACATCAATCGACATTGTCATCGGCTACGAGCCCACAAGCGTCGACTACGCATCCATTCACGAGTTCATGTTCTCTCCTACAACATCTCGGGTGACCCGAGTCGGGTCTCGCATCAAGCCGCCTTGAAGTCATCCGGTACCTCAAGCTGACGCAACCCGAGGTGGTCTGTCTCCAAGAGACACATCATGGTTCATCCAACTCCTTACAATTCCTTGGTTATACCGTTGAGCATATCATGGGGGCACATGTAAACCCGCGAGGAAGATTGAGTGGTGGTCTTATAATCCTAGTTCGCAGTGGTCTACCTTACACACGAACCCTGACTCGTGACTATGGTGACATTGACAACTCTTATATGACATTGGGAGTCCTTCTCCATCTCCCACGGGTTCCTCCTCTGAGCATAATCAACGTCTGCTTTCGACCAGGACTTCACCTACAAGACGTCCCACTCCCAGAACTTCCTGGTGAACGTCGACTAGTGGTGGGAAATATCAATGCACATCATCCAACTCGGAATGTTGAAGCCGCTCCCCAGTAGACTACAGAGCCAACCAATGCGTGACTGGCTTGACGATAATGACCTTCGCGTCCTGCAGCATGCTAATGATCTACCCACTTTTATGGGTCGCCGAGGATCCACGACTATCGACATCGCGGCCGTATCACGTCCTCTAGCTGCTGGTTTTCATCGAGACATCTTGCACAATGCCTTGGCCAATTCTGACCATATGCCCCTGGCTATCTCGTGGCGTGTAGGATCGCCGTTCGATGCATCTACTCAACCACCCCAACGAACCAATAAGTGGAATTTCTCAAAGGCAGATTGGGCAGGATACAAGGCATCTCTCGATGACAATCTTCAACGAATCCCATGGTCTGCTTCAGTTGATGCTATCAACTCTGCTAATACATCAAGCATCGTCCGAGCCGCTCGGACCGAGCGGGCAGGGCCCACATCCCTCGAGGGTGTGTAAGCTCTTACAAACCGTACTGTTCAAGCGAGCTTGAAGGCCTACGTAAACAGAAGAAGCGCATACGCCACACACTTCAAGTCCGTCGTAAACACCGACCACCGTGGGACCGACTCAAACGGGAGTTTTGGGCTATCTCGCGACAGTATGCAAAAGATATCCGTCAAGCTCAGCGAAATCAATGGGAGCAGTTCAGTGAACTGAGGGTGAACTGAGTTCACCCACTCAATCCCTCTCACAACACGTCGAGGGTGGCGAGCAGTACGTACCCTAGCTTTTGGGAATACCACACGGCTTTCTACGGTGATTGATGGGCTCCGTGGACAATCAGCGGCGGAGCAATATGCAACTCGTATATCTGGGCCCCAGATATACTACGCATCCCACACATATACACATATCCCCAGATTCTGGGGAAGTCCACAGTACCCGACTATTAATCAGCACCAATAAACAATGGATGCAACGAACTTGGTCACTCGCCAAGCAACGACGACGAGCACAGCAACACCACGCTCATCACTGGTCGGCGTCGCCGACTCGGCGACAACTCCTCTGGCACAGTGGACGGCACCTTATGACATGCAAGCGGGGGGGCTTCAATCACAGCCTTTTACACCTACTGAATTGAGTCTGCACTCAAACGCCTCAAATATCAGACGACGTGTGGTCCAGACCAAATTCTTCCACGTTTTTTGCACCATGGAACCGAGATGTTGGAGCGTTGCCTAATACGCCTCACAAGTAAGTCCTTCCCTTCCACACAGGTACCAGCAGCATGGCGATTTGCCCGTGTCGTTAGTAACGACTCGTTACCATCAAGAAAACTACTATCCCTTCGACAGCAGCAACCCCCAAGGACTTTCGACCAATCTCTGTTACCGACATTTTTGGTCGGATCGCAGAGGCTATGCGTGGGGAGTTGAGATGCCTGTGCCACAGGCATCTCGGTTCTCAACGATAATCGAGCGGTTGTTCATCACTTGGCGACTCGATGGTTGTCTAATAGCCCATCGAGAGACCTCTTATTGTCGACGCTATCAGCTCTCACTGATATTCGATTCTGTCTACCCCCTACCTTACAGGGGCTATCAGCTAGCTAGATGACATCGTCACCTGTGCATGTGGCTCCAGAAACTTGGTCGCGTACGTTACATCGCCTTCGTACCGAGTATTACCAGCTCTGGGGCTCAGCAGCACCGTCCATCCTTGGAGGAGATGACTATGTTCACTAGCACCCCCGCGGGTTAGGTCGATATTCGTGGTCAGATGATGCACTCCATTCCTCTCCCCGACATGACCAGTGTCTGTTATACCGTCTCCGAGCGGGTGTTCTACCCTTCTTCCATCCTTACTCCTGCTCAGCATGTCGACAAGAGTTGCTCTCAATACGTCACCTCCTGCTATTCGGCACTGCTTCTACATTAGATCGTCCCCTGAACTCCCCTGTTATCATTCTCTCAGCTTTGAGTTGCTTGAGTCGAGCAGACTTCTATTTATACAAATTACTACATGTGCTCTGTTATAACTAATGCTAAGAAATCCGGTTGTATCACATAACTTCCTTCTTTCTTTTTTGTGATCCAATCTTTGCTCACCAATCTTTGCTCATTACCTACCATTGTACTCTGTTGTCATTGGGGAGCCGTGGCAGAGCCGCCTTTCTCGTCGTATTTGTTAGCGGCATTGTTGCGAGAGGGTGATTGCCCTCCTGGCCCATAATATATGGCAACAAGGTTTGAATTGAATTGATAGTAGTGCAAATATCAACAGTGTTATACTGTTATGAAAGATGGGGTATCATTGAATATATACCGAGGTAGCACTTCATCATTCAGCTTCTTGAACTTATCACTAGAGCGCCATACACCATCATTTAGCAAAACACAGTTGTCTTCTATCTCAACAATAACTCTCGTTGTTGGAATCCAGGGTGTGAAGGCCTTCGGGTGAGGTTCCGTAGTGTGTAGTACATACTGTGTGCAAGTACACTATCACCAATTTGTAGTGGAGGTTCTGTAGCAGTCTTGTTGGCCATCGCTTTGAGAGTACGTTCACGACGGTCATGCTTATATTTCCTCCCAATAGTCCATTTGTCATCTGGAAGCTTACATCTTTCGCTGGTGTCGAAAGGAGAAATACCCGAGCCATCAATAACATGTCTAGTCGTGAGAGTCCATGCGCAAGTAGATTGGAGCTAGAGTTGATCTCATAAGCCGCACGAGAAACAGCATCAAGCCAAGTTTTCTCGCCAACAGAGGCAGTTGTCAAGAAAGAACGTCTCAGTCGTTAGTTGAGCAGTCGATGACGAGCTTCAACATGTCCATTTAGCCATGTTGCAGAAACGGGTACATAATTGAATTGAACGGAGGGCATAGACTTCGAAGCTGACTTGATGATACTAGCGTTGTCAGTCAAAATCCTCTGTAGTAAGTAATGATAGAGCCGATGGGGTAGGTTGGCTGCTCGTTGTATATCGATGGCCGTCGGCACACTAACAGTAGGGTAACATAAGAGTAGATTAGTGAGCTGACAGGCCAAATTGACGGGGTAGAATTTACCGCTCGAACCATTGGTTGTTGTGGTCGTAACGTAAGGATCAAGTACATCCAAACTGACTACGTGAAATGGTCGCTCAGGGATGACGTTGAAGGTAGGGTTTTTGGGTTGTCTATCGCGGCGATAGTATCGCCAGGGTTGGTCTTGACGAGAGCACAAGTGATGCAGCTTATGGAGGCCTTCTTAGCTGCTTCATCGAAGTCGATAGTGGTTGACCTTGGATCGAGATAGCACTTGAAGATAGCAGTGATCTCAGGAGCACCAGTATACTTGAGAGAATGACAGTCATGAAATCATCAGTCATCAACGTCATGAACTACGTTGGCACCGGGGATTCTTGTAACCATTATCACTCGGACTACTATGGCCTCGTCATGAACCACGTTGGCACCGAGGATCCTTGTAACCATTATCACTCGGACTACTATGGCCTCGTCATGAACCACGTTGGCACCGAGGATCCTTGTAACCATTATCACTCGGACTACTATGGCCTCGTCAATAACTACGTTGGCACCGAGGACCCTTGTAGCCATTATCACTAGGACTACTATGGTTCAAACCCCGATCATTCCCAAGCAAGTTGGCCATTGTGGCCAGTACTATCATAACTAGGATTCGATGCCGAATCGTAGTTTTGAATTGTGTCATTGACTTTCCCGGCCTTAACCTTAACTGTGAATCCCGGATCCCACAATAATTGTGGCACAATTCCCATCGTTTTGTTTTCTGTGGCCGTGTTATATGTGGAACGCAATACCTGTGACTTGAAGAGCAGAGCATCGTGCTTAGTTCAGTGCAGGTTGATTAATTAATAACGATTCATGTATGACCACTCACCATGATGCAGACGATCATAGTCTGGCCTTCGCCCTTTACGGAGACGCCGCTTCAGAGGCGGCGTGCTGGGTTGGCTACCTGAGACGATGGAATCTTCATTGGTATTAGTGGTAAGTGGAGCTCGTTGAGTCTCTAGAAATTGAGCTCACTCTGGCACTCATCATTTCTGCGGCCTCTTTTCAGCTTCTCGCTGTGCTCCGGCTACCGGACTGTATCCACGATTGAAGCCCTCGACTCCGAAGCTGAATGTACCTGAATTTGAGTGTGTCCTCACTGTTGTGGTTCGAGTTTGTTCACTTTTGGAGTATCGCTCCCAGGACTCCTGTATGGAGGGTGTTGGTGTGTAGTTGCTGGGGGAGGCGCACCACCTAACAGTTATGATATAAGAGCCTTCAATAGGACCCCGTGATGAATGAATTCGCGATGAGTGCTCAGTAGCTCCAAACTTCAGTCTTACTGCTTGGTTGTCCCTGATCAGCTTCTGGCATCTCAATCGGTGGCAACATCTCCTAGCGAGGAGCACCACTAGACGCATCTTTTTCGCTAGCCCTACATCGGGTATTTCTGCACTTTCCTCGTCAACATCATCTGCCACATGGTTTTGTGCTGTTGTGGTGGGTTATTTCCTCCCATGCAAGTTTGCTTCTGTAACCTTAGATAATTTTGCCGGTCTTGGTGACTCGCCCATGAAGAGACACCGAGGTACAGGTTAACCAGGCTTCGGCGGTGCGGAAGCCCTGCACCGTCGTCCCTGCAGATATCCTGGCTCCTTGCTGGACTGCTGCGGTGGTGATCCTATGACTCTCGCCGCTTCTGGTAAGGTCTGTCTCGGAGGGTCCTGGCCGACCAGTGATGCCACGAGTTCTTGATTGCGCCTAGCGTATGACTTGTCTATTTCTCTGGCGGATGTTCGTGTGTACCTGGGTGCCAAAAGTTCTCTCTAATGGCCCCGGTTAGAATTTGCCTGCTCAAAATCATTCATGGTTTTATCCAACAATTCATATGGCGTATTTGTAGTGGATTGAAATTTGATAATCGAATATCCTTTTGGAGTCGTGATGAAGTTCAGTTTTCACACAAACAAGATTGATCCATGTTCAAGACTCTAGTTTCAGGCACAGCACCTCATTCCATTACTACTGTGGTTGGCCTCTTGGTGCTCCTCCTGGTATCTGTAGCAGCCGCGAGTCGTGACCAGATAAGCTCGACTCCATCAGTAGAACTCCGATAACATGAACGCATTTCCCGCTCCTCCCGGCATAGCAGTTGCACTGGTATCTTGGCGTTGATGTGGTCCAAAGATTGTGACTGTGGTCACCACAGTCACATTCTTGTTGAGAGATAAGTACTCCTCCCAATCACCCCATACGGTTACGGTCTCAGAGCGGTATTTCTTTGCGAGTTCACTCATCTTTTTATCCAACTCATTTATCCAACTTCTTTTTACCCTTCCGACAGGCTGATATCATCGCGCTCGACGGAATGTAATATGTAGCGGAATCCTCGCTGATGTAGATGTGCTGTGCGGGACGACTCCTTGTCCAACGACCCTGCGATCGCGATGCTTCTTTCCACAGGTCTCCCGGCCGTTCCTCTTTGCGCATCTATTGCGGCGTTCGCTCCGTGCTGTCTGGTATAATAGAAGCATGCATTGGTCTGCTGGCTAACCAGCTCTGCTATCGATGATCCTGGAATGATGAGACCTGACATAGACGTCGAGATCAACTCAGTGCGAGAGCATACTGTGGCAAGCACTACTGCTATGGCTAGCACTACGACTATATGATAAGCACTACTACTATGGCAACCACTACTGTTATGGATAGCACTACGACTATGTGATGGGCACTATGACTATGGCAAGCACTACTGCTATGGCAAGCACTACGACTATATGATAAGCACTACTACTATGGCAACCACTACTGTTATGGATAGCACTACGACTATATGATGAGCACTACGACTATGGCAAGCACTACTGCTATGGCAAGCACTACGACTATATGATAAGCACTACTACTATGGCAAGCACTACTGCTATGGCTCGCATTACGACTATATGATAAGCACTACTACTGTGGCAACCACTACTGTTATGGATAGCACTACGACTATATGATAAGCACTACTACTATGGCAAGCACTACTGCTATGGCTCGCATTACGACTATATGATAAGCACTACTACTGTGGCAAGCTGTACTACTATTGCAAGCACTACGACTATATGATAAGCAGCACTACTATGGCAACCACTACTGTTATGGCTAGCACTACGACTATATGATAAGCACTACTACTATGGCAACCACTACTGTTATGGATAGCACTACGACTATGTGATGGGCACTATGACTATGGCAAGCACTACTGCTATGGCAAGCACTACGACTATATGATAAGCACTACTACTATGGCAACCACTACTGTTATGGATAGCACTACGACTATATGATGAGCACTACGACTATGGCAAGCACTACTGCTATGGCAAGCACTACGACTATATGATAAGCACTACTACTATGGCAAGCACTACTGCTATGGCTCGCATTACGACTATATGATAAGCACTACTACTGTGGCAACCACTACTGCTATGGATAGCACTACGACTATATGATAAGCACTACTACTATGGCAAGCACTACTGCTATGGCTCGCATTACGACTATATGATAAGCACTACTACTGTGGCAAGCTGTACTACTATTGCAAGCACTACGACTATATGATAAGCAGCACTACTATGGCAACCACTACTGTTATGGCTAGCACTACGACTATATGATAAGCACTACTACTATGGCAACCACTACTGTTATGGATAGCACTACGACTATGTGATGGGCACTATGACTATGGCAAGCACTACTGCTATGGCAAGTACTACGACTATATGATAAGCACTACTACTATGGCAACCACTACTGTTATGGATAGCACTACGACTATATGATGAGCACTACGACTATGGCAAGCACTACTGCTATGGCAAGCACTACGACTATATGATAAGCACTACTACTATGGCAAGCACTACTGCTATGGCTCGCATTACGACTATATGATAAGCACTACTAACGTGGCAACCACTACTGTTATGGATAGCACTACGACTATATGATAAGCACTACTACTATGGCAAGCACTACTGCTATGGCTCGCATTACGACTATATGATAAACACTACTACTGTGGCAAGCTGTACTACTATTGCAAGCACTACGACTATATGATAAGCAGCACTACTATGGCAACCACTACTGTTATGGCTAGCACTGCGACTATATGATAAGCACTACAACTATGGCAAGCACTACTGCTATGGCAAGCACTACTACTATGGCAAGCACTACTGCGACACTTGGCAGCACTTTCTCCTATAATTCAACACATCAATCCCTCTCGCATGTTTCAATAGAGCCGATCCGAACATTGATCCACGGCGCGAACTCAGAACTCGACACTTGTGCATGGAGAGCGAAGAATTATCTATTCCAAATCCCCGACTACACGGCTACGTGTGACATCAGATCTTCGAGTTCGTAGAAAATGGCGATTGGGATACAAACATTAAGTGGACAATCCATCCAACGAGGGAAAGGCCAGAAAAATAGACGAAAGTTCACGAAACAAGTACGTGGATGGCTCTGTCGTCAGAAAATGGAGTCGAAATGGGGGAATTATACCGCCCCTTTAAGAGAGGCCCTCTTCCAAGCATCTTATCAACAGCTGCCGCAGCATCCACGCGGCCGAAGGAGAGAGTCTTTTCTCCTTTATTATCCTTGACCCCTTTGGTGGCCGTGACCATGATGACACTTTTGATGTAAGCAGGAGTCAGCTTAGTCTTCAGTGAAGGCTCAAGGCTGTAGAGCATCCCAGCTATACCTGCTACGATAGCGGCGGCACCCGAAGTGCCTGTACCCCTGCTGTACCCCTCATTGAAATTTGTTTCAGCTAAATTGTAACCTGGAGCGGCAATGTCAACAGCTGAGCCAAAATTGCTTTCGTCATCAAGCTGCATTTTGGTACCATTGGTGGCTGCAACACAGAAGATTCCTCCACCGTGTAGTCCCCGGCGGGAACAAGGATAGTATTCGGTCTTGTCCATGTCCAGATGCCTATTCCCTGCAGATATCACAACGAGCATGCCAGCTACAGCAGCTCTCTGAATTATCTGCATCGGCAATGGGACGGGTGCTGTGAACCCATCCGTTAACAGGACCACTTTAACATCACCTTTCTTCTCACGGATGAGATATTCGAGAGCCTTAGTGTCATTGACGTTAGTCGGTATCTCACCCTTGAATATGGGCAGTATGCTTACACCGTCCAGAATAGTATTCTGAGAACACCTGCAATACCGATCTTGT